GGAGCTCCAGTGACGTCTTTTTTGGTAGAATTCCGACAAAAACTTTACCCAAATCAGTAAGTTAGGCTAAAATAAAACTACTTATGGTGTCTTTATATTTACATATCAATTAATATAATAAACTTATCGACAAAGTAAATATTTGATCGTAAATAGTTTTCTTTTCTCTTTACTCCTCGCCCCCTATTGGCACTGCGACAAAGTCTGAAGGCTTATAACTCTAAAATGAATGAACGTAACGATTTATCCAATAACATTAATGACAGTAACACTTTAACCAATCAAAATGAATGAACGTAACGATTTATCCAATAACATTAATGAAAGTAACACTTTATAACCAATAAAATGAATGAACGAAACGATTTATCCAATGACATTCATGAAAGTAACACTTTAACCAACCAGAAAAACAAATAAACTTAGCTCACTCGAAGAGAAAAAAAAAAAGTAGTAGCTAAGCCTAGAATTTTTGATACACTATTTTCAATGACGTATCGACAGTTCATAATAACTAATTCAATATAACATCCGGAAAGAACGAAAGTTAAGTTATGTTGTCGCACTCCAAAGAAGAAGAAGAGAAATAGAATTTATTTGTTTGTTGTAAAGTACAAAGTTACATAACAAGTTATCTTTGCTCTGCTACCGCAGGTATCGAAGCCAGATTTTTATTGGTTATAAAGTGTTACTTTCATTAATATCATTGGATAAATCGTTTCGTTCATTCATTTTATTGGTTATAAAGTGTTACTGTCATTAATGTTATTAGATAAATCGTTACGTTCATTCATTTGATTGGTTAATGTGTTACTGTCATTAATGTTATTGGATAAATCGTTACGTTCATTCATTTGATTGGTTAAAGTGTTACTGTCATTAATGTTATTGGATAAATCGTTACGTTCATTCATTTGATTGGTTAAAGTGTTACTTTCATTAATGTTATTGGATAAATAAATCAACTATTAGTTTCATACATATTAATGTTTACAAAGTTGTTAAGATACTTTTTTATGTTATTATTATTTATTTTAACAGCTATGAAAATGATTTCGCATTATCAGCCTAACTATATATAGAAATATGTATTTTTATATTTTGTACTTCTGGCAAAGCTGCTAGGCATGTTAACCACCGTCCCTAATTTTGAACAACTGGCCAGAGAAAAAAGCATCCAATTAGCAGCACCCACCATCTCACACTAAGAAACTGTTACAGTTTAACGTGCAGGGAGTAGTTTGTAGTATCGTACGAACTCGAACTTGGATCGCCAGTTCCGAAATCCGGAGCTCTATCCCATGCTTTGAGTAACCTAAATAGAGACATATGTTTGGGATTACGGCTGAAAATATTACAGATAACGAGAGTTTACCGTTCTTCTGTACTGATTTATACACTTTATGTAAAATGTACTTCATGGATGTTTAACCTTATTGTTCTATAGTTGTGTTGCTGCAGTAAAGAACGGTTATCTAAGGTTTTACTGATGTCTAACCTTATTGTTCTATAGTTGTGTTGCTACAGTAAAGAACGGTTATCTAAGGTTTTACTGATGTTTAACCTTATTGTTTTAGAGTTGTTTCACCTGGCAATGTTTTCCTTTCGTTATCTCACGTGATCAAATGTTTCATTTGTTAATAGCTTACGTGATCAAATGTTTCATGCGTTAAAAACTTACGTGATCAAGTGTTTCATGTGTTAAAAACTTACGTGATCAAGTGTTTCATGCGTTAAAAACTTACGTGATCAAGTGTTTCATGCGTTAAAAACTTACGTGATTAAGTGTTTCATATGTTAAAAACTTACGTGATCAAATGTTTCATGAGTTAAACATTTGCGTGATGAAATGTTTCATGTGTTAAACCCAAAATAAATCGCTCAGAAGGATGTATGTTTTTAGAAACCAAAACGTAGTTGTGTTGGTTTGTAATTAAATACAAAGCTACGCAATGAGCTATCTCTGCTGTGCCCACCATGGGTATGCAAGAACCGGTTTTTAGCGTTCTAAGTCTTCAAATTTACCCCTGAGCCACTAGTGGCTTGTAGTTGTATTAAACCCCAAAAAACGTATTAAATTTAATAGTGGTCAATAGGCATTTAAAATACGTTTATTAAACATAAAAAATGCGTTCACATTATTAGTGGTCAGTGAGCACTTAAAATATATTGTACCAAAAATTGTATTGAATTTTTAACACAAGTTTCATATAGTGGTCAGTGAGCACTTAAAATATATTGTACCAAAATTGTATTGAATTTTTTAACATAAGTTTCATATAGTGGTCAGTGAGCACTTAAAATATATTGTACCAAAAATTGTATTGAATTTTTTAACAGCATTAAGTTTTCCCAAAAATCGATAATATTTTATATTTCGTATAGATTTGTACTGTAACACAAGCACTGTATTTATCACTGTGCCACCGAAGTTAGAATAACATAATATTGGGCTTGACTCCTTCGTAATTATGTATTAACTCTATTACTACCACTAGTACTATTAATGTGGCATGGTGGTTAGGACACTCTACTCGTAATTTGGGGGGATCGAAACCCATCGCCGAACATGCTCGCCCTTTCAGCTGAAGGGTCGTTATAAAGTGACAGTCAATCCCACTTTTCGTTGGTAAAGGGTAGCCGAAGAGTTGGCGGTGAGTAACGTTGACTAGCTTTCTTCTCTCTTTTCTATCACTTCAATATTATGGACAGCTAGTGCAGATAACCCTCGAGCAGCTTCGCGAGAAATTAAACAAAACAAACAAACAAACAAAAGATCCTGATTCAAAGTCTTACCATTACAAGCATGGCGAACAACATTGTCTAAAAACGTATCCTCGAATACGGCAGGGATATGCTCTCCAACCTCTAAACTCATCACCCAGTTGTACTTCTCGGGAAGATGCTGTTCTTCGGAAAGATCGAGAAACTTTATAAATCTATCTTTAATCACTGCTTCTATGTTGCCTGCACCATCGAAACCTGCGTAAAAGTTATAAGTCCTAATCTAACAAGGAACAGACGTTTGGTAAACAGTTTCAAGTTTCATTTTAGTCTCTTTGTAACTTCTTACACTTTAAGACTTCAAAACTTATGAAGAAAAATTACTGACTTAACGCTAGAGTCTGGATTTTTGAAAGGGAGGCGTCCATCAAAACATTTCTTGTAGTGCCCAAAAGATGGCACCACCAGAATAACTTTTGTTCTAGAAATCATAAAATTATGACGTTTGTTGCATAATAAAATCTTGTAGGAGAATTCGAATTCGTTAACTGTTGTCTCCTGTAAGTTTTATTTGTATTTAAAAATTTCTAGGGCATCTGGAAGGGCTTGGGCATGAGGTTTGCCCTTGTCGAATACAAAAAGTTTCCTCGTGCTATTAGTTTGTGAAATTGATATTAATTAACATGTCAGAATTGTCATTAAAAAACTACTTTTAATATAGTAGTTTAAAAATGCTTTATAAGCCTGATAAATAGTGTGTCGGACCGAAAATCAGATGATCCCAGGTTCGAGACGCGTTGCCATTGAATACGCTAAGCATATCCAGCTGTGGGCACATTCTGGTCTTGGATTTCTTCACCTTAAAAAAATATATATGATAGTGAGATCCCGTGTACGAGCAACGTCATCGAAATAAAGTGGGTATTAATTGTTTTATTGTTTCATAAGTTGTTGATGATGACAAAACCTTGTCGAAACGTTGTACATTTGCTGTTTATTATTAAAGTTTTTCTTCATTACCCATTCAAGCCGTCTCCAGCCATTATTAGTCTCAAAGTGGATTCCTCGTCATCGAATAAGTTGTTGTTGTTGTTGGTTTTCTGAATAAGAACCCACCAAATGTATCCGTTATCATTCTATTTGGCCTTCCTGGTGTTTCCTAACAGAACTTGTCTCGAATTTAGTTAAAACAAATTAAATAATGAAAGAAGGGTTGATGTGTAGCGCCAAACGTGCTATTTCTGAAAGGAGGACATTTTAATATTAGGAATTATTTTTCTCTAACCAGTTCATGTTGTTTTTATCACTTTACCATGAAGCTCAACCCTTTGGTATGTCGAAAATCTGAGCAATGTTTAAAAGTCACAATTCTAGAAGTACTTATGTTAAACACATGTATTTTTTGTGTACATGTACATTTAATAGCACTTGTTAGAGCCTCTTTACACACATATTTGTAGAAAATTCCAAGTATTTGCAAAATAAATTAATCATGTGAAATGATAAGTGACAAAAAATGTGTTCAAAATATAGCAGCAGCATTGTTATTAAAGACCGTTTCTTTGAGCGGTTCTTCATATACATTAAAGTCTGTCAACAGTGAAAATCGATAGAGTACGTTTACCACTAGTGAAAGCTTCTTTTCATTGGGGGTCAAACCAAAAGTGATAGGAATGTACAAGTTTGTAAAGTGCAACAGACGTCATACTGTGTCCCAGTTGATCTATTCCTGTAATAGGATTCTGCAGTTAATCGTTTCTTCAACCATGCCATGTAAAGGTAGTTACAGAAACTGTCTTGTAGCAGCCAGATACGAACAAGGAAACACTACTTCAGTTGTATGACTAGAAATGTGTAACGTGACATGACGATTGGGGTTTCATCCTATTCTGTGTTGATAATATAGAAACAATCCCAAATAATTCCTTGACTTTGCCTATGATCATCTGACCTTGCAAGCTGATAGAGGTGGTGTAATGGTGTGGGAAATGTGTTCATGGCAGAGTGTGTATTTCTAATGATTTCAGAAGAGCCAACAATGTTCTGAGTTTATCGCACGACTGTAATGCAATACCCTCGGCATTCTTATTATCTGTATATCATCCAAAGAGCATGTCATCTGCGTCAGTCATCTTTCTTGGTCAGTACAATCATTAGACATGAGATGAAGCTTCTCTGAGATAAATTTAAACATCACCTTCACCACCATAATTCTCTTCTGATCTATGAATCAACTGTTGACCATAATTCTCGAAGAATAGGCTACAATTAAACAACTACAGTTTAAAAGAAGGTGCCAAGGACTGAAATTTAACGAGGCACCTTTAGACATTTTATGAAGCCATTGTCGTGAAGAGGCCAAGGTATTATCGCAATATCAACCAGATATTAGAGGCGAATGTCTAAACTATAAACGTGTCTTCTTTAGCTTGAAGTTGGCTGTATCTCTATACATCATATCAATGTAATTATATAAACTAACAGTGTTTATTTTCATTCAGTTCGCTTTTATTATCAGCACTATAATAAAAATCAAAGCGAATATTTGAACAGTTTCAACCGACTAGTTCCTCAAGAGTAAATCAAAACGTATTGTGACGTCACATAAATGTTACCACGAGAGCATTAAGCAATATGGGGCTAGTAAGTAGAGCAACCAGGTGTTTCTAGATTTCTGTTTAGCATTTTTCAAGCCAGATGTCTATTTCATTGATTAAGGATATAGTCAGTAAATTATACTGAATCAAATTAGTGAATAAGTTAAAAAAGGCTTGTAGATCTACATAACAACCCGTATTAAAATCTTGTTTCTGAGAAATAATAAATAAATAAATTCATATTCTTACCAGTCCAAGTTAAGACTTTTTGTGGTTTTTTCAAGGCAGCTTGAACTTCAGAATTGTTTAAGAATATCGTTTCTTCAGATGCTGGGCTATAGGGCATTAGTCGATCTCCTCTCCTGAGGAAAAAACGGCCGTATTGTCCTAATCCACATCCAAAATCTCCAACAGTTTGACCCTCGAAAAGGTCATCTAGGATATTTGATATCACGGGACACCATACGTAATTGTAGCCAACCATGGGCTCCGTTGGCGTGAGACAAAATCCTCCTCTTGTTCCAATGCCGAACGCGCGACACGACATCTCTTCAATAAGTGCACGAAGACGATAGTTGGAGTAATCCGTGGGTAACATATAATCCCTGGAGACGCCAGGGATCATCACAGATTTTTCTAATGGTTCTGGGCGATTTCCTTCTAGAATCCATTGTAGAAGAAGACACGAGGAAAATCCCAGGAAGAATGCCAGGAACAAGGATGGGGGTACTGGCCTTGGGAGTCCTCTCAGATTCAAATACATCGTTTGTTTTAAATATCTAAATGTAAGATATAAATATTTATGTTCATATTTGTGATACGTGGACTTATTATACAAAATATACACAAAACATCGAGTCCTTCTCTGAGTTTATATCTAAACTAAATTTGAGAATTATATGTCTTGTGTTTCTGGTTGACCTATTCTAGACTTAAAGAATATCCAGTATTGATGTTATTCACTTATTATTCTGAATAATCAGTAGATAAACTGTTTTATACAACTAAGAATAAACTTTAAGCCTAATCTGTTAAACTGTACGGAAACTAGTCTCGTTCCTTCGTCAAGGTGTGATGAGGGACGGAATTTCCAGCAACCGGGATAACTCAGTAACAAGTGGTGAACTGACTGATAGGTTGAACTTCATATTTATTTTTAAATTTGAGTCTGAAATTGAATGTTTCATTAAGTCACGTTAAGCCTTATAGATGGAAACTTTAGCCGTCATATATATATATATATATATATATATATAT